TTTGTGAATACATACACACAAAATTGTAGTTAAATAGTTGTTTCTATTTTAAAAGCACCACCAAAGATGGCTAGTTAAAGATGGATACTGTGAGGCAACCCACTTGGGTCCCCTTTCACGCTGTGGAAGCTTTGTTCTTTTGCTCTTCACGATAAACCTTGCTACCTCTCAAAAAAAAAAAAAAAAAAGGATGGATACCATGATAATTATATGACAATCATAGTTCTCATTCTCATTCTTTTATTCATTATTTAAAATCAAATAACATTAATAACATACTTCAAAAAGTTTACACTTATCCTACTTCCATTGTCTGTCATCCTGAAAAAAAAAATGCTGAGAGATGATGATAATAAAACATGTTTATTCTTCCATGGAATATATAAATTGAAACCAAATATGTGGAACCCACATTTAATAGAAGTAATTCAACACAATAACTATCAATTAGTAGTCACTGAATGTCACATAGATAAGACAATGTTTTAGGCACTATTTTTTAAAAAGACAAAAAATTTACCCAGAAATAATAACGAGGTACACTAATTTTTTTATACCTTAAAATTTTGTTTTCATTTATTTTCTACCATGATTATGTGCAGTAAGTGAACTAGACTGTGTAATGATTGAAATAGATTGTCACAGCTCATCACTCGTGTCTACTTGCATCAGTCATTAGCAGTATAGAAACACCAGGTCATGCAGCAGTCCATTAAGGTTCAGGAGATTAGTTTGTTATTTTAAGATCAAGTGAAGATCAGTAGCTCAGGAAGATTTGGTGAAAACATTCAGAGTTGAGAAAGATTCTGAAGCAGAGATGGCTATTTATCAGCTGTGAAATTTCCAAGAGTTAGCTTCTGGTTGGGATTGTATCCTACCATTTTAAAATACAAAGAATCTAAGAATAAAGCCTTTATAGGCTGGGCGCAGGGTGACTCATGCCTATAATCCGAGCACCTTGGGAGACCTGGGTGGGAGGATGGCTTGAGGCCAGGAGTTTGAGGCTCCTACGACCTATCACTGTGCCACTGCACTCCAGCCTAGGCGAGGGAACAAGACCTTGTCTCTAAAAAACAAACAAACAAACAAACGAACAGTAAAACCTTTATAGTCTTTCAGTTTTTTCTTTTTTCAGCTCCCCATGCTGAAAGAGGATCTTTCTGTTTTTTCTTAAAGGAAGATTACATGTTTCTTTTGCATTTCCAAGTGAAATCTTTTAGGTAGTTACCGAGAAGCAAATAAGTTAGTTTATGAATGGGTCTTTAGTCTTGCGAGTTCTTCTGTGTGAGACCTAAGGAAATTATTCTTTCTTTCTTTCTTTTCTTTTCTTTTTTTGAGACAGTCTTGCTCTGTCACCCAGGCTGTAGCACAGTGGCTTGATCTCGGCTCACTGCAAGCTCCGTCTCCCGGGTTCACGCCATTCTCCTGCCTCAGTCTCCAGAGTAGCTGGGACTACAGGTGCCTGCCACCATGCCCAGCTAATTTTTTTTCTTTTTCTTTTTCTTTTTTTTTCTGTATTTTTGGTAGAGACGGCGTTCCACTGTGTTAGCCAGGATGGTCTCGATCTCCTGACCTCGTGATCCGCCCGCCTCGGCCTCCCAAAATTCTGGGATTACAGGTGTGAGCCACCGCACCCGGCCAGGAAATTATTCAAATACAGTGCACTCTTTAAAGCTGCTTTGAAAGCTTTGTTCTTAACTGAACCAAGGGCAGTATAAAATCTGACAAAAATACTCTTAAAATGATTTTATTAATCCATAGATTCATTTTTTTTAATGACGTAAAGTTGGATAAAAAGACTTTGTTCTGATAAAGTTATCTTAACAATAATATAAAAGACTGTTTTGGTTGCCACACACAAAAAGTATGGAATGCTTGAGGTTTTTGGAAATCTAGAATAAACTCTCAAGTTTCCAGGCTCAGGAAATCTTGTTTGCCACTATTATGCCTATAAAGGCCACATTAAAAAACATTCTGATTAAACATTTTGGCTTATACTTACTATCACATCACTACATGAACTGGGAGTGTGAATGCAGCTCAAGATGAGCAGTTTCCATCAGGGACAAGTTTACCATAAGAAGTGGACTGTTTTCATTTCTTTAAAAAAAAATCACATTTACAGCCAGGCGCTGGTGGCTCACGTCTGTAATCCCAGCACTTTGGGAGGCCGAGGCAGGTGGATCACTTGAGGTCAGGAGGTGGAGACCAGCTTGGCCAACATGGTGAAACCCTGTCTCTACTCAAAATACAAAAATTAGGCCAGGCGCAGTGGCTCACACCTGTAATCCCAGCACTTTGGGAGGCTGAGGCAGGTGGATCACTTAAGGTCTGGAGTTCGCGACCAGCCTGACCAACATGGAGAAACCCCATCTCTAAAAAAAAAAAAAAAAAAAAGAAAGAAAAGAAAAAAAAATTAGTCTGGCATGGTGGCGCATGCCTGTAATCTGAGCTACTTGGTAGGCTGAGGCAGGAGAATTGATTGAACCCGGTAGGCAAATGTTGCGGTGAGCCAAGATCGCACTATTGTACTCCAGCCTGAGCAACAAGAGCGAAACTCCGTCTCAAAAATAATAATAATAATAATCAGCTGGATGTGGTGGTGCATGCCTGTAATCCTAGCTGCTCAGGAGGCTGAGGCAGGAGAATTGTTTGAACCCAGGAGGCGGAGGTTGCAGTGAGCTGAGTTCACGCCACCGCATTCCAGCCTGGGAGACAGAACCAGACTCTGTCTCAAAAAATCAAAACCCACATTTACTTAAACTATTTAGTAATTAGCTACATCATTTACTGGTTTTAAATTTTAAATAAAGTAACTTTAATATAAAATAAAGGATACTTGATTTCTAAGAAACTTGGTAAAAGCATTTTGCCTGGAGCAAATATTTTTACTATTTTGGCATTGTTATCCATATTCTCTATAACGATGTGTAAGAAAATAGGTCAGCTATTATATATATATATAAATAAATGGATAAAGATAACTGGCTAAGGTTAGACAGATGTTTGGCAATCTTGTACAAGCACTCGGATTTTTGCAGTGATCGTTGTTCACTTTACTATTGTTTTACCATAAATAGCTCCTCTATTATATGAAAATTATTTAACCCTATTTTAGTATTTTGTGGATTCAGTTAGAACACATTTCCCCTTTTCTTGACATCCTCTCTCTCCCTCTCCCTCCCTCCACCCAATACACACACACTAAGCACAGCGTGGTGAATAAGGTGCTAGGAGATGAGTTCTAGGCTTCCTTCTGTTCATGCCTTGAATTTTGGACCCTGCCTTCCTGTTTTTATTCTAGTTCTTTAGCTCTGTTTTAAATCTTGGAACACATGATATCCTTCAGCCCAAATATTAGTCCCTTCGGACATTAGTATTATAAAGGGCGTCCACTGAAATTTAAATCACATTTTACGTTTTAGCTATTTAACTTTAGAAGTAGGCACAGGTGACTGTACTTTCAGCTGCTGTTAGATTTTCAGTGTTTGGGTTTATGCCATTTTGGATTGATGGGAAATTGTCATATAAGATTGAAAACTGTAATAGTAAAATGGACTACTTCACATTTTGGGGGACAAGTATTTTCTCATTTGGTTAATTATGGTTTGAAGTCATGTGAAATTAACTTAAGGATATCAAGAAAATGCTGACAATATAAATAGTGATACCTTATATAGTTATAATTTATATTCTCTCCATAAGCACAATTAAAAATACACGAACTCAGAAAATGTACAAGTATTTGAAATTACAATTAAACATCTATTTCAAAGATGCACAAAAAGTACAAACCTGACTTTTGATTGGGTTAAGACTGCAGGAACGTCCCTCTCTATTATTTCCACTTTGCGGGAACAATAGCTCAAGGGTAAAAAAAACAGAGGAACCTGGCGCGGGGGCTCATGCCTGTAATTCCAGCACTTTGTGAAGCCGAGGCGGAGGGATCGCTTGTGCCCTGGAGTACGAGACCTATACACTGGGCAACACAGGGAGACCCTTCTCTACAAAAAATAAAAAATTAGCCAGGCGTGGTGGCGTGTACCTGTGGTCCCAGCTAGCAGGAGGCTAAAGTGGGAGGCTCGCTCGAGACTGGGAGGTCCAGGATGCAGTGAGCTGTGATCATGCCACTGCACTCCACCCTGGTCAACAGAACGAGACCCCTCCCTCTCCTCCCCCCTCCCCACCAAAATAAGCTAGAGGATATGCATCAATCAAGAATTCCTACGGGTCCACGAAAACACACATCTTTTTCTACTCCCTCTGTATAGGAATGAAAGGAAAAATTATGAGAAAACAAAATTCTCACCCGTTGTAAATATAATGGTATGCCCATGAGCAGCATATCATTCTCAAATCTGTAAAATGCTTACTCTATTTACAAAGCGTTTGTTGCATGATTCACTAGATTCTCAAAATAATTTTCCATGAAACACACTAACGGGTTATTAGCCTAATTTTACAGATAAGAAAAATGGTGCTTAGAGAGGTCAAGTGACTTACTCATGGTTAGATACTGGTAACCAAGTTTTCTGATTTCTTATCAAATATTCTTTCTACTATGCCACTTTGGTTTTCAAACACATGAAGCAACTAAAGGTTAAGAGTAAAAACCTTATGACTCCAAAAAACTTCACTTGGTACTCTTTTGCCATTAAGAAGTGTACAGGACAGAATAGAAATGTACATTATAAAATATTTGACACTATGATCAAAATATCCCTTCCAGGAGAGTTTAATCAATAAGTTAAAAGTTAGGAAACTCAAAAGTCATTTTACTGTCTTAATTGATTATTCTATCTTCACTTGTACTGATGAGATTGTAAAATGCAATTTGAAGGCTAAATATATCAAACATCTAACCAATTTTCCCTTGCCCAGAAAAATCTTTTCTGCTTTCTTTTCATATTGGAAATGAGGAAATTTGGAAATTTACTTGGACAAAAATGCTATTATTAAAAACATTCTATGTTTACCTATATTAATAATTTTGACAATAGTTCAAGGCAAATTGCATTTACTTTCTTTGAAAATGTCAATATATAAATAAATTTAGTTTTTCTTGTCTAAATATGAACAGTACACTGTAACAGCAAAACATCTGCTGCTGATAGGCCGGGCACAGCCGCACTTCCTGGAGGTTGAGGTGGGCGAATTGCTTGAGGCCAGGAGTTGGAGACCAGCCTGGGGAACATGGAAAAATCCCGTGTCTACTAAAAATACAAAAATTAGCCGGGCATGGTGGCGCACATCTGCAGTTCCAGCTACTCAGGAGGCTGAGGTAAGGTACTGACAATCACCTGAACCCAGGAAGCAGAGGTTGCAGGGAGCCAAGATTGCCCCACTGCACTCCAGCTTGGGTGACAAAACAAGATCCTGTCTCAAAAAAAAAAAAAAAAAAAAATCAACATTTCAAACATTTGGTGAGTGGTCCTCTGTTTTTAATTTTACAAATATTTGCTTAAAATAGTTTGCTTGGATCCTTTAGATATATTTGTAAAACATAATGCATTTTTAGAAGCAATAAATTAGAGAACAAAAATGAACATAAAACTTATTTTCTTGTGTTGAGGCAAAATTAAGGGAGGGCAAACATTTCCAGACAATGGGGAGAAAATCTGGTACCTTATACAAGGAACTGCTATTTACGTCCTAGTCGATACTTCTGAGATTGTTTATTCTGCAGGTGAACAGTGCATATTTAAATGCATTTTGCTATTCAATATTAATTAACTCAAGAGAATGTAATTCCTAATAAAATCTTTTCAATTGACTATATATTCACAAAAATCCATTTGAACTGTCAAGAAAAATGAGTAATATTGACATAGTTGGACACTAAGGTCAGCGTATGCTAACAAAGTGAGAATGGAGGTACTTTCAAGAAAAAGGTTGTCTGCTTTGCTTGATAATTTAGCAAAATATCCAATCTAGTAGTGTAACAAGTAAGCATAGTGCTCTGAATCAAATACCTTACAAAATAGTACTGGTGTGGGTTTGTAACCTTTTTAAATGCTTTTATTGCATCATTCTGCTGTTAATGTTGGTATTTATCCTGAAATGACAGCCAATCTGTTCCTGTGAGTTCTTTGGCATGTTTGAAGTCAGCAGAAGCACTCTTTCCTGGGCTTTACTGCTTCCTCAGAAGAATGCACAGTATTTGGAACAAAACCACTTTTAACCCCTTCCCAGCCATCCTGAATACAAATTTCTCCCTTTTTAATAAGTTCGTATATGTCTCTTGTCAAGATTGTGAAGGATTCTTCAACATTTGTAGCATCCTTTGCTGAGGTTTCTATATACTTCATTCCACAGTCTGCTGACAGTTTTTCAGCTTCTTCCCTTGTAACTTGACGTTGTGAAGCTAAATCACATTTATGTCCCACTAGCAGAAATACAATCCGAAACGGCTGTACATACATTTTTGCTTCTTCTAGCCAATCTTTCACATGTTCAAAAGATCGTCGGTTGGTAATGTCAAATACTAAAAATCCACCAACTGAGTTGCGGTAATAAGATCGGGTTATTGATCTGAAAAATAAACAGAAAAAAGGTTGTATAAGGACAACTTGTTCTTTTTCTTCTCCTTCCAACAATCTAGCACCATAATAACATTTGAAGATATCTTAATATGATTTAACTAGAATTTATAAATAAAATATGAGGTATCTCAAGTGAACAAAAATATTCTACAAGACTAATATGCAAGTTTCATACACTGACAGAACAGGAAAGTAGCAGTTATTTTTAGATAGACAAATAAGCACTTACATGCTATGTCATCTCGTACTGTCTGATTGTTTTTGCTTTTAAAAATCTGATAGATTATTACATCGCTGTGGTTAAAAATAAGCATATTGAAAGATTGAGTGAAGGGCACAGGTTGCACAACAAACCAGATCTTAAGAATCTCATTCGTCATAAACTTTAATGAACTCAACTTTCTATCAATTTAGGAAAAAGAAACAAGGGCTGTAATATGGATCGAACGTCTGTGTCCCTCCCAGATTCTTACGTTGAAATGCTAACCTTGATGTGGTGGTATTAGGATTAGGAGGTGGGGCCTTTGGGATGTAATTTAGGTCATGAGGGTGGAACCCTCATGAATGGGATCAGTGCCCTTAAAAAAACATACCCCAGAGAAGGCCGGATGCGGTGGCTCACGCCTGTAATCCCAGCACTTTTGGAGGCTGAGGTGGGCGGATCATGAGGTCAGGAGATCGAGATCATCCTGACTAACACGTGAAACCCCGTCTCTACTAAAAATACACACACAGAAAAAATTAGCCGGGCGTGGTGGCGGGTGCCTGTAGTCCCAGCTACTCGGGAGGCTGAGGCAGGAGAATGGTGTGAACCCGGGAGGCGGAGCTTGCAGTGAGCCGAGATCGTGCCACTGCACTTCAGCCTGGGCGACAGAGAGAGACTCCGTCTCAAAAAAATAAATTAAAAAAAAAAAAAAAAAAAAAAGGATACCCCCAGAATGCTCTAGTCCTCTTTCTTTCTACCATGTGAGATACAAGATGGCTGTCTGCAACCCAGAAGAGGGCCCTCACTGGAACCTGACCATGCTGGCACCGTAATCTCCCTGATCATCCACTTCCAGCCTCCAAAATTGTGAGAACTAAATTTCTGTTGCTTAAATCCCCATTCTGTGGTAATTTGTTATAACAGCCCAAACTCACTAAGACAGCAGACTTGTCACAGTATTAGTTACAGGTACAGTCTTGTGTTACACCTATTCAAGAAACAGGAGACTGTATGGACCTGGGATATGAATCCGAGGTGTGCTAGTGATTCTCTGTATGCCTCTCCAGATCTGGTCTCTATCCTTCTCTATGCCTGAGGAAGCTGTCCTTCACAGAAAGCTTTCCCAAAGCCCCTTGCCCTCTGGCTTGCAGGGGGGTTCAGCCAATGGGAGGTGTCCGCTGGAGATGGAAGGAAAGAGAGGTCAGAGTATTTATCCCTCTCTTTGCTTCTGCTGGGCTGTGGTTTAGCAGTGGTGGTATTCCTCTGCTTCTAGTCAGGGTTTCTGTTGGGTAGACCCTTTCCCATGGCTACAGCTGTCATCACGTTCTGGTAATACCATTCTCTGTCCTCTCCTCTTCCAACCAGGTGGCTAATGGCTTCCCACGGTTGCTATCTCTGAGTGCTTCACCATCCTTTATTAGTGTCCTCGATGCTGACTCTATCTCTGGAAATAGTCACTTTATTAAACTCTTCTCGGTTAACCTACAATTGTGCCATCTGTTTCCTGGCTGAATCATGAGGCAAGGTGGCAAGGCTATACTGTTTTATGTTTCTTGCCCCTCCACATGTTGTTTTATCTATCTGGAATGTCTTCTACCCCTTTTCTGTCTAAGAAACTCCTATTTCTGCTTCAGTAGTCAGCTCAATAATCATACCATCTGAGCAGCCTTCCCTGCCACTCACCTCTCTCTTAGGTACGCTTCTTATGGTTCCTCTGAACCACTGGCATACTGCCATTATGATATGTTAATTTTCTTGATATGCTGACTGGATTTGCTGTTATGTCAATCATATTGCATGGCAAATGACAGATGTCATAAAATGTTTGTTATATTGGAGTTTTCTTTTTTTTTTTTTTTGAGACGGAGTCTCACTTTTTCACCCAGGCTGGAGTGCCGTGGTGCGATCTTGGCTCACTGCAACCTCCACCTCCCGGGTTCAAGCGATTCTTCTGCCTCAGCCTCCCGAGTAGCTGGGACTACAGGCGCACGCCACCACCCCCAGCTAATTTTTGTATTTTCAGTAGAGAAGGGGTTTCACCATGTTGGCCAGGATGGTCTCGATCTCTTGACCTCGTGATCCACCTGCCTCAGCCTCCCAAAGTGCTGGGATTACAGGTGTGAGTCACTGTGCTCGGCCAATATTGGATTAATTCACCTAATTGGAGAGGGAAAGTGCTAAATGTTGTATAAGCCAGAGATCCCATGCGTCTGTTTCCAGTTTGTCAATGGTCTTTTAGCAAACTCATCTGACTACATGCCTGAGGCACCAAGATCTTTGTGAATGGCCAGTGGGTTATTTGGTACCGTCATACTTTCCTACTTGTCCTCATTGCTGAAATCACAGCTCAGTTCAGTGACCTGATGCCATAAATAGCTTTGTTGTGGGAGTGCAAACCATTTTACCTCCTCTTTTTTTCTATTTCTCCTGCTTCCCTGTTTCTCCTCAGAATTCTTAGTAGAGAGATTCCCAAGTGGCTATTTTTGAAAAACTTTTGTCGAGGACTATAGTATTATAGAGAAATTGAGTTTTTCACCAACCCGATGCTTAGACTCTAAAAATAAAAAAAAGAAAAGAACTTGACAATAAGAAAAAATCTCCCACCATCTTTGGCAGGCTATGAATAATGCAGTTGCTATATTTTAACTTTGAGGCATAACTAATTTGTTATTGTTTTGTCACTCATCTTTATATGTGTGAATTTAGGCAGATGTGCAGTGTCTTAAGAGAAATCTAATTATGGCTATGTTCTTAGACTGAAAGCTTGAATTTACTCAGCACCAAGTCTGCATAACTTTTTTCCCTCCTATCCATTTAATTTACCATTACTAGAATATTTAAAAAATGCTTTTTGTGGCTGAAAACTCAATGCTGAAATGCTTATATGTTACACAGAGGCATGTTTTACACTGTAGGAAATACTATGTTTTCTTTTCTTTCTTTTTTTTTTTTTTTGAGACAGAGTTTTTGTTCTGTTGCCCAGGCTGGAATGCAATGGCACGATCTCGGCTTACTGCAACCTCTGCCTCCTAGGTTCAAGCAATTCTCCTGCCTCAGCCTCCCGAGTAGCTGGAATTACAGGTGTCCGCCACCTTGCCCAGCTAATTTTTGTATTTTTAGTACAGATGAGTTTTCACCATCTTGGACAGACTGGTCTCGAACTCCTGACCTCAGGTGATCCACCAGCCTCAGCCTCCCAAAGTGCTAGGATTACAGGCATGAGCCACCACACCCGGCCAGGAAGTACTATTTTTTCAAAAACTTATCTTTATTTTCTTTTTAAAATAGGCAACCCTATTAACTGATTGTATTTAATTTTGAAAACACATTTAGAATACACTTGGCAAATCATCCTACAGAATAAAATTATAGCAAAGTATACGTAATACACATGATAAAACAACCCTTATTAATAATTAGTTGGGAATAAAAGGACTCAGTGTAACATCTGTCATTTCTATGCAGTAACCTGATTTCTAGTTTCTGTGTGTGGGTCTGTGGGGCTTCAGATTCGAATATAGTTGTTCTGCAGGTAGTGCTTTTCCTAAAACAATTGCGCGCTGCTGCTATCAATCATCTGGGGGAAGAAGCAGGCCTTCAGATGGAAAACTTGAACTGAAAGACAGGTCTTTTAGAGGTGTGGAGGGAGCAGCTATCTTTCTCTTGACCTTCCTCCCGTAAATTGAGACACTTAGGTCTCTAGAAGTTCTTGAAGGAATTATGAGAAGGTAGGGAACAGACACTAAAAGCACTAGGTAGGGAGGCCTCCCTGTAAGGAACTCAAGAGTTGATGATGAATAACAATTCTTTTTAAGAAACAATATCTTGTAGTATGATTCTTTATATCTATTTCCCTCTAGGATTTGAAAGTCTCCCTGAATGGGCCGGGTGCAGTGGCTTTCACTTGAGTAATCCCAGCACTTTGGGAGGCCGAGGTCAGGAATTCGAGACCAACGTGGCGAACATAGTGAAACCCCGTCACTACCAAAAATACAAAAATTAGCCAGCGTGGTGGCGTGCTACCAAAAATACAAAAATTAGCCAGGCATGGTGGCGTGCTACCAAAAATACAAAAATTAGCCAGGCGTGGTGGTGCGTGCCTGTAGTCCCAGCTACTCGGGAGGCTGAGGCAGGACAATTGCATGAACCCAGGAGGTGGAAGTTGCAGTGAGCTGAGATCACACCACTGCACTCCAGCCTGGGCAACAGAGACTCTGTCTCAAAAAAAAAAAAAAAAAAAAAAGAAAGAAAAAGAAAAAAAAAAGTCTCCCTGAATTAATGGATGATTTAAGGGAAGGCAAAAAATTGTGGGGTTGGGGAATGGAGGGAAGAAAAGAACAGAAGCAAGGAAGGAAGAGAGTAATAAATGGCATGGATTCTAATCTGGTCTCTCGTATTATGAGGGAATGAAGAGGTGAGACTATTCTCTGGCAAGAATGATAAAGCAGACACAAAACCCCTAAATACAGTGTGAGGGTGATGTGATGATGGGGAAGGTGAATTTTGGAGGAAAGGGATTGGGGTTATAAGCTCCTAGCAGTCCCTTGTCCCTCTTAAGTGGAAGATCTAGTTTTAATAATAAAAGAAAGCTGCTGGTTCTTTCATACTGTGAAGGCTACACTATCAGCAAATCTTATCCCCTTGCCAGAGGAGCAGTCTCCTCTGCTTGCCTTAAGTGAAAACTGCTCGTCCCTGAGAACACTGCTTCCCCTGCAGCACACTCACATTGCCCATTCTCTAGGATCAGGAGGAGACAGCTCCTGTTTCCCCAGTGCAACTTCCTG